GCAGAATTCACCCCGATTCAATCTTGCGGCGGTGGTATCGTGGAGGAGTTGGGGCTGGGGCTGGGGGCGACAACGAGTGGGGCTGGGGTTGGGGGAGGGGAGGAGGGTGGAGAGAGGGGGACTGGAGATCGTGGAGGAGGAGTAGGGAGGGTCGCGGAGGAGGGAGGAGGGAGGGTCGCGGAGAGGGACTGATCGATAGAGGGAGGAGGGAGGGTCTTGGAGGGGGAGAGGGAGATAGGAAATTTAGGGATCTTGGATGGGTTCTTGGGGTCACGGGGGTTTTTGAAGGACGAGAGATAGAATCGCTGGATTTTTTTTTCAAAAAAACCTAAAGTCGGGACGGAATGCATTCGCATAAGTACGTATGAGAAATGGAATATATATATATATATATAGAGAGAGAGAACTACCACACTCTCCACCACACCCCCTTTCCTGCTACAGTGCAGGGGGGCCCACCTGAGATTTTTTAAAAAATCTCAGGTGGGCCCCCCTGCACTGTAGCAGGAGAGGGGGTGTGATGGAGAGTGTGGTAGAGAGTGTGCATGTAGTGTTATTTTTCTATAAATTCCTCACCACACACTCACACCCTCAGTCGCTCTCTCTCTCTCTATATATATATCTATCTACCCTTTAAAAGAGGGAGTTCTTGAAAAACTTTCCCAATCCCAAATTACCCTTCAACCAATTTAAATATACCAAACTTATCCTTTATAATCGTCACATAGAATTCTTCATCAGAAATCAAAAGCCCTAAACTTCGGTTACGCGGTTCATCGGTTACGCTTCTCCTCAGCAAACACAGTCCCACGATCTGTCATCAAATACCAAAGATGAGTATTATCGTCCTCGTCATCAACGCACCACCTCTGCCCTCAACTGTTCAGTTCTCAGATTTTTGGCATCGGTTAGGATCACGAAGGTTTCTTCTTCTTCTTCACTCCGCTACACAAAACCTTAGATCTAATCGTTAGTTCTGCTCAATTCACCCTCTCCCCTTTTTGTTCTTCATTCCTTTCCTTTTGTTCTAATTTTTCCCTAATTCTCGATATCCTGGGGTTTAAAGTGACGAGGGTTTCAATAATCAAAGGGTAGCTGGAGCGAGATTACAAAGTAAGTTGAATCTCGATCTTTCCATTTCTCAGTTAGATTCGTTCTTTTAAACTAATCCTGCACTTTTCTACTCTTATTCTTTATTGATCTTATTGATTATTGATTCTTTCATTAACTTTTTCCTTTCACATTTGATTTCTGCGCTCAACAAGATTTTGATGGAGAAGATCGCGCCCCCTTCAAAGATCTCAGCTGGGATCTTGCTTCCCGAGAAAACTTCCAAGGTACCATCTTTAAATTCTGTACCTTTTGCCAAATTTTAACGTTTTCCCCTAATTTTGTCAATGGGACTTGCTCCTAATATGGTTTATGATAAAATTTGATGTAAGAAGGAAGATCATACTCCTAATTTTCGAAGTTGCATGATAAAATAAGTGGTTGATAAGTCATTAGTTCCCAAGACAACGAGATACGTACTCTTTGTGATGATGTCTGCTGCTCTTTCTTCTCCTGCAATGATCTTCAGCTTCTCCTTGTATTCTTTGAATAGGTTTAGCTGATCAGTCGCACTTAAAACAGACTACAACAACAAATATCCAACTGAGAATTTTATGAAATATCTAAAACTAAGTTCCTATGGTTTATGAGGGTTAGGAATATCACCACTGAGACAGCAGTTTGGGGATCATATCTAGAGCCGCCAGATGTGAAGTTTATTGAAACAGAGGATTCATAACTTTTTTTAGCATACCTTAACATAATATGTGTAACCATTAAGGATGTTCTTGTTATGGTATTTTTTTAATGTACTTACCAATTCTGTAAAATTGTAGTTTCCATGAAAAACTCAAGGGACAATGTGTCCAATCTTGGTTAGTCTTGATACAATTCAACCAATCTTAACATCATGTTTTAATATGGTGAGACTGGACAATAAGATTCATACATGAGGGTTTCGCTATTATGGAAGTAATGTATTTGGGATATTAGAATAGGTGCAACGTATTTTTTATTTTTGACAGTACTAAATTTGTATGTCAGTCATTGGATTTACAATGTTTGTTTAATTGATATCTTCGTCATCAGTTAAAAATATTGATGATGCATGGATTGTGTTCCACAAGTCATGGATTGTGTTCCACAAGTTATGTACTATAATTCATTCTTGATTTTCTTCTCCTTTGATGGACAGCTTTTTGAGCCTTTTATGTGCTGATTTTTATACTTCACTAGCTTCTGCTTCTTGGTGATTGAGTGGAAGAAGCATTTAAGGAACTTGAGACTTCGTGCCATAACGTTGATTCAGCACTATCTTTCAGGTTCTTCAAGCATACTGTAGTGCAAATATAAGATTTTATGTTAACTCATTCGATGCCTATGTTTATCTTTGTTTTTATATGTTCATATTCTTTTTTAATAAATAAAGATCTGTAACTGCAATAAGTAACTGGTCTATATATGAACACATACTTAACTATTTACTTCAGCATGTTCTTTTAAGTATAATTCTTGTCACAATTAAACATTCTTCAGGCTTTAGCCACTCATACTTTATGATAGATTTTTTGAGACTTTTAACTAAGATTGTTTAATTCCCTACATGCATGATATGGGACTATCCTATCAAATTATAAGCACGCTATATTTTCCTGTAGTTTAGAAAGATAAAAATGTGCATATTTTTCTTGTTTTCTTGCAATAAGAGTGAACATCTACGTATGTTGAAATGCGATGAATTCTTATACTGCCATTGTAGGTTTGTACCCTTTGGTCGGAGTTGTTTGTTGTACAGTACTCTCCAATAGGTCTTCTGAATTCCTCATGTCATCTTTGGGGAAGACTCAAGGAGGAAAGCCCTCACTCTGGCTAAACATTTCATGTTCCAATGGAAGGCATTGAATAAATCGGATATTATTATGCTATAGGTTTTTGATTTATTTCCTACTCAAGCTAAGAATAAATACAATAATTTGTTACATACTTACATCTAGAATTCACCAGGTTTGCATTCAAATCGAGGAGACAGTTTCAACTACCCATGCAAAGCATGTCATTGGGATTTAATATAGTAAATGGCTTTGATGACGACATTGAAATACTTCAAATTGACTAAGCATTTAATCGAAAATTGTAGAGATAGGTTTGATGAAATTAAAGTTTATCTTATGAAATCGTTCTTCTGCATTCTATAATTATTTTGTGCGAATATTCAGTTTTTTCTTTTACGTAGAATTCTAAGCAATATTCTGAGTGAACCACCTGACTAGCTTTGATGCGTGGTCTCTGAACATGCATTGTGTTACAAACATTAAAGTGTGTCTGTTCTCTGAATGAGAAACGATAAACTTCCCTCTAGCAACCAACTTTTCTTCAGGCTTTGGCCACTCATATTTCATGATGATTTTTTTGATGAAACACACTTCATTTATTAGGAAATGGCTTTGATGACGACAATGAAATACTTCAAATTGACTAAGCATTTAATCGAAAATTGTAGAGATAGGTCTGAAAAAATTAATGTTTATCTTATGAAATTGTGCTTTTGCATTTCATAATTATTTTGTGCGAATATTCAATTTTTGCTTTTACGTAGAATTCTATGCAATATTCTGAGTGAACCACCTGACTAGCTTTGATGCGTGGTCTCTTAGCATGCATTGTGTTACAAACATTATTATCTTGTACCTCTCATTGTCTCAATAATACCTACTTGCATTACCCTTCAAGTTAATATCGTTAGCATGCATGAGTTAACCATCTCGATTTTGTCTGATACTCCTAACAATTCTTGGATTTTAGTAGTAAATGGACTTGTATACTCATAGGGTAATTGAATCTGCAAATCTCGAACGCTCCTAGAAATGGACACTTCAACAGGAAAGATTCCATTTCCAGGAATTTCTCAGGAACTAAATAAGGGTTTAAATAACTGCTATGTGTTTACTTTTCTTGACTATTGAATGTTTATTATAATAAATTGATCATTTTAATGAGTTTTCTTGCCTAACGCACTTCATTGCCAACCTGCTATGTGCGGAAATGCTTGCATGAAACTGATAAAAATTAAGATTACCTCTTTGTAAACATTCTGAAAAATTGAATTGTTTAACCAGTGTTGTTACATTTTTCTTAATAAAGCTTCTTAATAATCTTTGGTTTGAGCTTTGAATTGTAACGCGGTTTAGAAATATTCACTCCAGCTAGGATGGCTTTTTCAAATTCACTTCATTCAGGAACATGACTCATTTCTTTTGCATCCAAGCAAATGAGCATTGTTTTCAATCATCAATGCTTATTTTTCTTACTTTGTATTGTTCTGGTCCCAATGTTATTTGTTAGCCCTGCTAAAATTTTTTTATTGACTCTTGAATATGCTTGCAAATAAATTAGGTTTATGCAAAATTTCAAACATCATTATGGTAGTTGAAACTCATTTTTATTTTATTTTATTTATTGTTTATTAATGTAATCATTATCTGTTTTATTTAGAAATAATTGTTTAGACCCTTGGAAGTATGAATATGGCGTGTAGGCATATAAACTCCCTTTACTATTATAATTATTACAACATATATTGAAATATCAAGTTGTTGTGTCTCCATGTCATACTTTTTGAATAATAGTCTTGTCCCATGTCTGTGTCATGCTACATGTTTACTTGCTAACAAGGAAGCATAGTTGTTTGGTTGTTTGCATATACAATTTGGGGGGGGATTTATTTTTTAATTGACCAGTAGGGTTTAACTACTCAAGGCTTTCTGACAAATTGTTATAGGAAAGGATTCTTGTAGTGAACCCAAAATGCTCTTGTCAAGATTCTACTGATTGTTCTGTTCTGATGGTAAACGTATAATTGGAATCAATTCTATAGTCTAAATGAGAAACTAAAACTTTAATTGCACCTGTGTTGTTAATTTGAGTTATTGTTGCAACAATTCTTCATCTCAATGCGTTGCTTCTTGTTCCAATGTATTCCAGTTGATTCACCTGCGTACTATTTTTCATATGCTTTTAAGATGATAAACTGATGAATGTTATTTGTTAGGACAATTTATGAATTATTAGCATATGCACATATAGTTGTTTGATTACTATTGCATGCTTTGATTAATTATGCAGTTATTACCTTAAATTTAGCATTTAACTGTGTGAATATAAATACATATTCAGAGAATACTTGACTTTATTACTTATAACATGCATATGACCTTTTTTGTGATCTCGACTCCACGCAAACTTTTGTTGATGAATCATTTGCAAGAAGGGATTTGGATCATGGACATTTCATCTCAGATTCTATTCAACAGGTCAATGGCACATCTATGTTTATGTCCCTTGAGGATGGGTCTTATTGCAAAAGCGCACGGATGCCTGTTTGAACTTTATACAAGTGGTAGGCGGAAAAAGCTGCTTGCGCAAGGTGTATCTGAAAATAGGTATCATGAAAAAACTCCTGAGCAGGTATGTGCCACATGTATTGCTAAATTATTTTCATCCAAGCTAATATAACTGATTTATCATAATAACACATCTTCCTTAGTAATGATCCTTTGCATGTCATTATAAATCTATCATATTTGAAATAAAAGAGTTTTTTCTTCAGCTTAAATTTATCATTCATTCGGTTGCGTGTGAGTGATTTCTATCTTGATGAAATAATTGGTAATGCTTGAATGTTAGGGTTAATAGATGATCGACATTACGAGTGAACGTATGAGATCGTTGGAGTAATTTTTCTTGAATTATTTGTGCTTTTCAACATTTTTAGGTATTTTTCCTGTATCTGTAGTGTAGAACTTGCGTTGTGAATCTCGTGATTGAGAGATTACGTGGATTTTATGTGTGTTGATTGCTTAATTCTTTAGGTTTTTTTAAATTATCTTTTTGAATCCATAATTTACTGTTGATGTGTGAACCTAAAGTCAATCAGATTATAGGTCGAGTTTAGTCTTATATGCTTATAATTCGATTTTAAATTTCTTGAGATCTTGAAACACTTGGTTAGTTGAATTAGTTGTAACCTCTTCACTCTTTTCGTCGTAATTCGTTTGTTGCGGTCAATTTAATGCCAAGGTGGCGTTTGGGATGGCTGTGGATGATGATTGCAAGCTGAAATTCTTGGAGTTGAAGGCGAAGAAAACTCATCGTTTCATAGTTTTTAAGATAGATGAGAAGCTGAAACAGGTTGTTGTGGAGAAACTTGGTTAACCCACTATGAGCTACGAGGATTTCACTGCGAGCCTTCGTGAGAAGGAATGTCGATATGCTATTTATGACTTTGATTTTGTCACCGAGGAGAACTGCCAGAAGAGCAATATATTCTTCATTGCTAGGTAAATTACTAAAATTTTCTATAATATATGGATTTAGGTTGTGGTAATGATTTGTATTTGTTTTCCCATGTATGAAGGTCTCCATACATTACGAGGCAACTTTACTAGATACCACATAGACTTGTGGTTTCAGGTTATATTACATACAAACTTTCCTGTTCTTCACCATGTGTTGTTGGGTTGTCGCTTGTGATTTGTTATTTTGTGAAATTTATTTGATGAATCATGAATGTATGTCTACTTGTAGCCTGACATCTATAAACTCATGACATGTAACGTTTTATGTTTAGCATGTAGGGAAGCACTTTCTTTATATATTTTTGTAGTGAATGCTTGATCCATTGGATGTTGGTGTGTTTTGAAATACACGTATGGTTTAGTGCATTCCATCTTTGGTCCTCTCATTTACCTTTGTAACCAATGGGCATTGTTATTACTTGCTTGTAAGCTTATTTTGTCTGCAGTATAACAACAAACTCTATATGTTTCCTTTTATTAGGATGACCCTTTTGAATAGGTTGGCATATAGTTAGCTAATTTTATATGCTTAACTTATGTACATTGGAATCTTAAGAACAAAGCAGGAGGGATGATTTGTTTGTAGCTAACCGCTAAAAAAAATTTGGAACCATTAAGGCTATAAAATATCCAATGATAAAAATATATATTTATAGTATCTCTATTGTTTGTTGCATTACTATTAATTGTTTTGAGGAGATAGAAAAAAGTAAGACTAAATAAAAAAATTGATGCTACTATTTTAGTAACATTTATATTGGATGATTATGATTAAATAGGTCTTCTACTGTCAATTGTAAGTATGCAAACAATCTATTATCACCAAAGTGATACAAATATGTAATTTCATTATTCCATCCTTTTAAAATTTTAAATTCTATCCATATGTTTGAAACATGGTTTAAATAAAATAAATCTTAATGAAATGAATCAATAATAAATTAATAATTATAATTTTTACCACGTGCATTTGCACGTGCAATTATACTAGTATATATATACACAAATCTCTCCTCTCTTCTCTCCAATCAAGAAATATAATACAAAATTCCACGATAAC